ATCATTAAGTGTATCAAATACTGCTTTTGCAATTGCCTTGCCTGTACCAACTGGCAGTTTTGGCACACCAAGTAATTTCTCCACATCATTTCCTGTGACAAGAATAGGAAGGCGGTCAACTTCCTCCATTTCTCCAGAAATACTAGCCCTGAGTATATATATATATATATATATATATTAATAATAAGGAGCAGTGAGTTAGATAACTTAGAAAATAAGATAAAATATTTTTATTTAATAATGTTATAATTATTTTTAGCAATAGTCATCAATTTGATAAAATATCTAACACAAATTTATAATATTAAGTTTACGAGTATTTAAATGCTCATAATTCGAAGAACATAATCTATGAAATCTTGACATTTATTTTAATCATATATTCTACATGATTCTTGTATGGATGCATTAAATGATAAACGGATCCACATATGTGTTGTATTTATTTTAAAAATGTTTATTTGAAAAATGTTTATTTGAAACCATTGTATAAATAATAAAATAATTTATATAAATAATATTTAAATTAATTTTATTCCAGTTCAAACCTGTATTAAGAGGGAGATTTTGAATACACATAATAATTACATATAAATGCAACACAGAAGTAGAATTCGGATGCATAAATGCATTTTATAAATTTTAGATTTTGTTTCTGATTCAGAATTTGAGTAAAGCTTTTATATCAGAATTGGTACAGTAAATTCGAATTCTTTTTCCCCTGGCATTTTTAATGTAAATTATTTTTTTCTTCGTTTGTTACTTATATGTCTTTGCATCATTACAATTAATCACGTTATTGCATTGAAACCAATACTTGCATCATTAAAATGAGCAAAACAGTTTTAATTAATTAATATTATGAAGAATAAAAATTTGTCATTGCTATGCAATAATTTTACGGTTTAATAATGCTGCCATCTCTTAAGAAAACAGTGAACTAAATTTGTGTTTCGAAATAAAGAATTGTACATATTATGGTAGATAAAATATGTTTAAATAATTATTTATAGGAAAATAAATCTATAAATAAATATATATTTGAGTTTATAATTGTATAAATTGAAGATATTGTGTTGTAACGATTGAACAAATCTAATCATCATATTTTAAGTAGAATTTGTAAAAGAATGCGGAAACGAAGTCGAAATCCTAAAAATATTACTCTGCTAGAATGTGATATTTCCAGGCATGTAGAATTGGAGGGAAATTAACATAGAAAATAATCTGTTACATAACTTAAAAGATAATTTCTTTCGTTCCAATCTTCTTTTTTTTCTTATTAAATATTTATATTTATTTGTTATTTTTTATCTATTTACTACCTGTTGCGAACGAATTTGCACTCACGAAAGTGCTTTGATTTCAATTTTAACTATTTTCAATATACACAATATTTATATGCAATATTTTCAAAAGACTTTACAACGCAATAGGTATCAGAAATACTAGAATAATTCCCATTTCTGCCATGCGATATGAAAGAAAACCGTTTATTTTTTAAAATTGCTACAGCATCTTTTAAAGGATCAAAAATAAACTCTAAATCACTTCATATTTTTATTTCTATACAAATACAAAACTATTTAAAATAAATACTTAACGTGTAACTAAATATTCAACACTACTTAAACTTATACTAATAGACCTACTATACTATAACCCTAATAAAATGAATCTGAATAAATAAGGTGTAACTAATTATTTAGCATTACTAAAATTATTACTAAAGAGAGCTAAACAGTAGGTGTATTTTTTTACACGTTAATATTGTTTTTGATTTCTGTTACGCATCTAATCACTTCAATTACTGATATAGCAAAGTAACTATTTAAAACGAAAAATGGTAAGAATAAAAATTTTCTTTGAGAAATATAATATTTCTAACCCCCTGATATTTTGGAATGAAGTAGATTGATATTAATGATCATAATTTTAATCATTTTCGAGATTTTGAAATTCAATAAATCAGCCTTAAATTCATAAAAATATCTGAAAGTTGTTCATAAAATATATATTCCAGGGAAAACTCTATTATGCATTGACTTAGCAGAAGAAGAAATGAACTATACCCTTCAATCAACCTATACCTTTTAACAGAATACAATATGTTCAATTGCTAAGCTCTTCAGATAACCATTTACACTGGTTTATTTATTTATTTTTTAAAATCTATCTAAACAAAGAGCAGTGAAACATAAAACACAAGCTTAATTAACTCTCTACGTAATGGCCAAAAGGAAATAATTTATTACTGAGTGTCCTAAATTAGACTGACCGGTTTTTTTTAAACATTTTAACCGGAAAACGATAAAGAAAAAGATAACAATCAATACGTACTGCAGCAAACTTAAGAGGCACGGCCGAATTTTTTCTCTCGGAATTTCGGATTCATCAGATTTTGATTTCGTGAGCTTCAATCCCTAAAAATTTGAATTTACTCTCCTTGTAAAAGCAGAAGTATACAACTATTTATTATCCTACGTCCTAAATTAGTTCAACAGTTTTCATTTTTCTTTTCATTATGGAAACAAATTATGGCTTTAAGAAAATATCGCAATGCAACAAATTTATGTGGCACGACTTGATTTTTCCTGATTGAGTTTGAACCTCCTAGATTCCAAAGTTTAAATCCCTAAAAATTAAAAATTTATTCTCCATATAATGTTTGAAATGAACTAATTTATTATTGAGCATATCTTAAATTAGACCGACAGTTTTCAAAATTTTTCATCAGGAAAAGTATTAAAGTTAAGAAAATATTGAAGCAAATTTATATCAAAGAGGGTAGAGAGGGATAAAGAGAAAGAAGTGGACGATTGAACATTTATTTATAAGCGGGAAAATCATAGCAGGTTACATCTTAAAAACACCTCCTTCTCTCAGCCTATCTCCTCTCAGAAAGAGCGGGGAAAACTTGATGGCAAGAGAGAGTTGAAACAGCAACCCATAGAGGGCGCCGCTGGCTGAAGTACGTGTATGGAACATTTATGTGGTGAAGTGTTGTTTTATCACTTTAATACAAGATAGACTTATTCAGAAGGTTAGCAAATATTTATTCACCATAGCTGTTCTATTTTTCATCCAGACTGTTGCCATCCAACATACAAGAAATGATTTTTAATCATCTTGCTTAATCGATTTATTATCGATTAAGAATAATACTACAGAGTATCCCCCCAGTGACAGAGAATTTTACTCTGAAACGACATAATATTTCACATAAAATTTTTAATACTACACTATTTACATCATTGATAAATAATATTTTATACTAAACAACCTTGCTTAGTTAATAATGTTGATAACAAACATAAGTTGCCAGTTTTGCTGGAAAGTGTACATGTCTTCCAGACTTAGTCACAATTTTGCCGGGTTCCTTGAGAGAATGATTTTTTTCTGTACGTAAGGATTTGGAATTTCCAGGTTTTATAACGCGTAAGTTTGATTCAACCTTTTCTGTAGTAGGAATGAAATATGCTGGCTTTACACGGTCTACGGACACAGTAGATTGTCTACCATTTAGTTGAATTGTAAGGTTTTTAGCTGACCGTTTCAAAACCTTATGTGGACCTGTATAGGGTTGACATAAGGGAGGTTTTACACAATCCACTCTTAAAGACACGTGAGAATAAGTGCTTAGTGAGGTTTAACGTAAAATGTAGTTCGTCCATGCGCAGATGTCGCAATTGGATTCAATTCATGCATGGTGTTTCTAAAGGCCTGGTTTCTTAGGACAAGCACCTTATCTGGGAGTCAGCGTTAAGTTGACGTTACCCTGACGCCAACAAAATACTGATTTGTTAGCTCAAGGCCTGGTTTCTTAGGAGAAGCGTCTTAACTGGGCGTCAGCGCTAAGTTGATGTAATTTTGACGCCATAAAAATACCGTTTTGTTAGCTCAGCGTGAGCAGTCGGTCCAACATAGACATTATCTCGCATTGCGCATGCATTAATAACGTAAATAAATATTTATTTTGAATTTGCATTGATTTTGTGATTGTCGACCAGTGCTTTAAAGAAAAAATAATGACTTTGGTGCAAGTAAAAACACATTATAGCTTAGCTAAATGAAGAAGAAGAGGAAAAAGAAGCTATGTTTAATGTTAAAATTAAAATCTCGGCTGATTTCAATCCTCTGTTGTCGGCTGTTGTCCGCCATTGCTTCTGTTGTTATCGTCACGTTGTAATCCAACTGCAGTTGATTTGGACGGCAGTTGTCGTTCAAACTGAGCGTTCGATGACGTATGCTGTCAAACTCATAAAGTAACCAATCAGAGGTAAACGTTCGTTTCAAGCTGACGCCGACGTTTCCTAAGAAACCAGGCCTTAAGACGATCAACAAAAATGTCATCACATGTTGGAATGATAGATGTTTCTATCATGTCGCTTGGAAGTTGAAGAGTTGTTCCGTATACCAGTTCGGCACACGATGCGTTGATATCCTCCTTTACTGCAGTACGGATTCCTAAAAGGACTACTGGAAGTACTTCAGTCCACTGTGAGTTTTCATGGTGAGTTTTCATTCCGGAAAACTCACGATATAAAGATGATCGCATCTGAGAACCTTGATTTGTTGTAATTATTGAAGGGCATCCGAATCGAGATATCCAAGTGTGGAAAATTGCACGACAGATGGTTTTGGCTTGCATGTCCGCAATCGGTATGGCTTCTGGCCATCTTGAAAATCTCTCGATCATTGTTAATAAGTAGCTGTAACCATCAGATGAAGATAACGGGCCTACAATGCCCATGTGTATTTGTTGAAATCAAGCATCAGGTAAACTGAATGTTCCTAGAGGAACTTTGGTGTGTCTTTGAATTTTAGAAGGCTGACAAGGTTCACAGCATTTCACAAATTCTTTTATGTTTTTCTTCATATTTGACCAAATATATCTGCACAGATGAGCTTAGTAGTAGCTGTAATACCAGGATATGATATGCCATGCAAGTATTCCAAAATTTGTCTTCGAAATGTTGCCGGAAAGAATGGCCGTGGAGAACCATTTGAAATGTCGCGTATTAAGTCCGTGTCTGTATTTTGACATGGTTTTTGATCAGTATATATTTGAAATTCTCTACCCTCTAACATGTGTTTGAATTTTTTTATTGCCGAATAAATAGAAAATAACTCGCGGTCATAGATTGACCATTTTTTTTTTAGAATTATTTTATTTCATCGAGTAAAAAGCTAAAGGCTCCCATTTCCCCTCTGAAAGTTGCATTAATGAACCCCCTATTGCAAAATCCGATGCGTCAACCCATAAACTTAAGTTTGCACCAGGAATAGGGTGTTTTAAGAGGGTTGTCTGCGCGATTGCTTCCTTTGCCTTTAGGAAGGATTTTTCTGCGTTTTCATTCCATTTTAATGGCTCATTTTTGTCCTTAGAAAGATTTTTCTTTTTGTTTTCATTTCCTTCTAAAAACTGTATTAAAGGATTAAGGATATCAGCAGCTTTTGGGATGAATCAGCGATAGCAATTAAACATGCCTAAAAATCTGCGAAGTTGTGTTAAATTGGAAGGTTGAGGGAATTCTAATATGCATTGTACGCGATCGGATAGAGGTTCGATTCCTAATTCTGTTAATTTAAAGCCTAAGAAATTGAAAGAATTTTTACTGAATGTACATTTTTCGACATTGATACAAAGACCATTTTGTTCTAATCTTGCAAATAAATTCTTAAGGTTTTGTATATGATCATTATGATTTTTAGACGCAATTAATATGTCGTCGACAAATGCATAAATATTAGGTAAATCTCAAGTGACTTCGTCAATAATGCTGCTGCTGCGCGTTGTAGCTGCTGCGTTGCACAGTCCGAACTGCATGCGTGTACTTTCGAATAGTCTAAAAGGTGTACAAATGGCCGTTTATGAATGTCATCAGGGTTAATTAGAATCTGGTGATAGGCTTTTACTAAGTCAATGTGACTGAAAATTTGGGCGCCATGCAGTTCAGATATGAAATCAGCTACACAAGGAATGGGATATTTTTTCTTCACCGTTTGTGCATTTAGTGCCCTAAAATCACCAACTGGCCTCCACTCCAGTGTTCCCTTTTTTGGGACCATGTGAAGTGGGGATGCATAATTACTTCTAGATGGTCTTATGTGCCTTAACTCCATCATTTTTTTAAATTCTGATTTTGCAATTTTTAGTCTATCCGGAGCTAATCTGCGAGGTTTTGCTACTACCGGAGGACCTACCGTATTTATAAAATGAAGGGTGTTATGTTTTACGGGTTGATTGGGATCCGGTAATTTAGTAATTGAGGGAAATTCTGCTAAAAGTGAATGAATCACGGAATCACCTGACTCACCTAACTGATTGAAAAATTGTTTCTTTGACATGACCTTTTGTTTTAAATTTAGTCGTCAAATCTCTTAGACATTTATTGCGTAGATCTGGCACTAATGCATAGGAATGAAGGAAATCGGCACCTAAAATTGGCGTCGTAATATTAGTAATAAAAAATGACCAAGAAAAAATTCGTCTTAAACTGAAATCTAAAGAAAGTGTTTTTTGTCCATGAACATTAATTGGTGTAGGATTAGCAGCGAAAACTGTTTGCGGAGGATTATTTCTTTCTTGAATATAATTTGCCGGGAGAATGGACACGTCGGATCCAGTATTGACCAGAAATGATAAGTTTGTTGTCCGGTCTCGAATGAACAGGCGACGCGATGTTTGTGGCAAAGAACAGGTCGCATTTATTCTTGGCCAACTCCGTTTTCCCGAAACTTACATGGCATAACGCATTTTCCTGGTTTACATTTGTTTCCAAAATGGCGATGGTACCAGCAAACAGATGAATCTCGTTTTTTAACACTATTACTTCTGTTTCTGCGATAAGGAGAACGAGGGCGGGAAATTTCAAGCTTATCAATTCTTTCATTTAATTTTTTTTATTTGGCGAAGTAATTTCTCTTTCATTGAATATGAATCGTTTTCAGTTATAGAGTGGGTTTCCATGGGAACTGGGAATGACTTCTAATATCTTATCGGAAATGTCGGCTGCTTTTTCTAAAGTTAAATCTGAAACGGCTGCTAAAATCGTTTGCACTGATGTCGGCAAACGCTGCAAAAATAATTCTAACATAAGCTTTTCAGGGACTTTTAATGTTTCTGCACGACGTTTCATAATCCTTAATAGTTCGGAAGGCTTCCCATTACCCAGTTCTTCACCAGACAAAAGTTGGCGAATTTCTTGTTGCGAGGATTCGCCTGATCTAACAATTAATTCTGTTTCATAATTATTGTAAGGATCTGCAGCATCAGGATTCATTAAAATATCTCGTACAATCGATGCAATCTCTGGCGGTAATTGAGAAACAATGTAATTTTATTTGGTTAAAGATTCTGTTATAGGTTTGGGAGATACCAATCTAAACGTGCTTTCACACATAATAAACCAAAGAGCAGGATCTGATCTGTTATATATTGGTATTTGTACTGCACTTACCTCTGACATGGCGAAAGAAATCTGAATGGCGTCACAAGATTTTTTTTTCAAACTGAAATCGTAGTCAAACTAAACAAAATTCTTGATGGATATCATTAATATCAATTCAAATCGTCCTCATAGTCACCATTGAATTGTGTTTTTATCACATTAACAAAAGATAGAGTTATTCAGAAGGTTAGCAAATATTTATTCACCATAGCTGTTCTATTTTTTATCCAGACTGTTGCCATCCAACATACAAGAAATGATTTATAATCAACTTGCTTAATCGATTTATTATCGATTAAGAATAATACTACAGTGGTATGACATGATTTTTCTGAAGGAGTTTAAACCTCCTAGATTTCAAAAGTTTAAATCCCTAAAAATTAAAATTTTTCTCCATTTTATGGTCAAAAATAAATTAATTTATTATTGTGTATGTCCTAAATTAGACTGACAGTTGTCCAAATTTTTCATCAGGAAAAAGATTAAGGTTAAGAAAATATTGCAGCAAATTTATGTGGTCCGGCAAAAAAAGTTTTTACTTTAGAAACCTCTAGAAATAGAGATTTGTGAGCAATTAATTACAGCCGTTGTAATATTTCAGAACTTCAATTAGTTATATTAAATATCAAGAACATATAATTTTCTTACCTAGCATTGGTTAAAAATAAAATAATTTATTGCTGAGTGTCCTAAATTAGACCGATTGTTTTCAAAATTTTTATCTGAAAAACGATTAAGGTTAAGATAAAAAATCGCAAATTTAACTGGTCTGGCATAATTCTTCCCTTTAAGAGTTTCCTAGATATTGAAAGTTGAAACCCTGAAAATTTAAATTTGTAAGTAGTTCGTTTGATCATTGGAAATATTTAAGAATATTAATTATTAAAATTATTAAGTATAAATACATTATAGCTACACACATTATATAGCTAAAAAAATTTTTACCGAGAATTTGAAAATAGACAGGGAGTCTTAAAAAAAATTTAATAAAACAATTAAAGTTCAGAAGAAAATATTACATTTAAGAATTTTAAGAATTTCTATCACGTGATTGTAAAACTTTTTCTCCAAAAAATTTTTCATTACGTAAACTTAAATGACGTAACTTAATGTTTCATTATTTACGTTTGGCATATTTCATTATGACGTAACCTAACGTTTCATTACATAAACTTAAATGTTTGAACGAAATCTATGAAATAGTTTAAGAGAAATAATATTTCTTTTGACAACTCAGTAACTATTCATCCGAATTTGTTTAATTTTTTTTCCTATCAAAACTTCTTAGTTTAAAATAAAATAGAAAACTGGATTCCTTTCGAATATTATTAAATAGTAAATAATTGCTGAAAAATATTTTTCACATTGATATGTGTTTAGAGAAAAAAGTTTTAGTAAATTCGATATTTCTAAAGATATGGCGAAATGCGCAATTAAATCTTCGTAAGTTTTAACTTTCCCCCCGCTCTCTAATTCCAAGAGATAATATTTTTTCAGATCTCGTCTACTCTCCAATTTTGAGAAGCGATAATTCAAATCAGACAAAATAAATAACATTGCCGAAAAATATTTTTCACATTGGGATAAATATCATTGGCAAGCACATAGTGATATCTTTATAGAAAAAAGTTTTAATAAATTCTTAAATATTTCAAGAGATATGGCGAAGAGCGCAATTAAATCTTCACCAGTTTTAATTTTTCGACTGCTTTCACAAGTTTACTATGAGATATTTTTCAGATTTCGTCAACTCTCCGATTTTGAGAAGCGATAATTCAAATCAGACAACAACAAAAATATGTTAATTCAAAAGGGCGTGTTTACTATTTTACTTTGTAACTTTAAATATGAACAGCGAAAATAAATTAAAATATTTAAAATAAATAATTGAAAATATAGCCTGAATATAATTTTTTTTTTTTGCAAACTGTACCATTAATGCATAATGTATCAAAGTAGAATTAATTGTACTCAATGTTAAAAATCTTATTACTTTTAATTTCTTATTAATTAATTTTTCAATTGCAGGATATAAATCTACCAACAACCTACTCACATCGGCAAAAAGTTGCTCAAATTTGAAGTTTAGTTTAGGTTGAGTTGATGAATATCAAATTCAATGATAATAGTTCCGAATTATGCGATTCTGTACCAAACACAAGACGTATAACCTATTTTAAGAAGCGAAATTTAACAATGCTGTAAACTAAGACTGACATAAAAGTAGAAGAAAACAAATAATTAATGGTAGAATAAAAATCACGAATAGAGAAATGTGTTAAAATAAGAAAAAAATATA